AAAAGGTCAATGCAAGTAGCCAATACAGACGAGCTTCATGGAGCTGCCTATACGTTGGTGCGCTATCAGTTTTACGACGACGATTTTTTTATGGACGACGTGAGACAATTGTTGGCGAGTGACAGCGGGAGCCGTCTCACGATTTTTTTTTCGAAATTTCACGAATAACGGCCGATCTGTTTCGGATTAGTTCAATTACGCACACCATGACACGAGTATTTTATATATACGTGACATTAAACATCCACGGCTGGAGAACAAATGCTCATGTACATCACACAAAAATCTGCCCCCACTGGAATTCGAACACGGGACCTCTCGAGTAGGCGACACCTTGAAATCCGACGTACAAACCACTCGGCGAAACAGGTCGTTAATGCTTCAACTTTTATTGAAACAAGATCCTTTTGTATAAAGAATGTATCCTTGTTTAGTTTAGTTCGTAACGTTTATACAATACTATTAAATTATCACGAACATTTGCCGTTTTCACGACGCATCTAAGCAAGCAATAGTCACATTTCTGACTGTGTTCTTAAATGTTACTATTGCTTGGCCCGACTTGTTGTGAAAATGGAAAATGTACGCGATAGCGCCACAGTGTGGTCATAGAATAATTTACATATAATATGTAGAAAGAGACCTACTTCTTAGCAATCCATGGATGGATGGATCCACCGTGCGGGTACCGGGTCCATCGTGTGGGAGAGAAAGAAACTCTGAGCAGTTCCCGGGACTTGTGATCTAGGTGTATTACTAATAAATTCCAATTCAACATCATCAATGTCCTCACTGCTGGGGCACAGGCCATGAACCACCACGCGGGCCCAGTGCGGATTGGCGGGTGCTAACGACTGCAGATGCAGCCAGGACCAACGGCTTAACGTGCCTTCCGAAGCACGGAGGTATTCGAGATATAGAATTTTGGTCACCCATCCAATGACCGACCACTGCGAAAGATGCTTAACTTCGACGATCGCAGCCGAATGAGCTTACCACCCGCGTCATCGAGCTCCTCAAATTCCAAATTCCACGAAATAATTCTAGAAAGTGATTTTTACTAAACAAGCTTGGTAGTCACTGTCGTTTTCATTAATGTACTTATTACTTTTTTTGGTATGAAAATATAGTCGCTAATAAACATACACTCTAAGAAACTTATTACTAACCGTTAATTAATTTTCCCGGTTTTTTTTAAATTCCTTGTAATGATAAAATAAAGTAAGTAGGTGATACTGTTTAATTACACTGTATTCACTAATATTAATTAGCACGACGTCGCTTGCGAGCCTATGAAATTATTACCAATTTTTTTTTAAATAGACAATTATATCAGATTTACAAGTATCTAAGCTATTCAACAGCAAATCACAAGTTAACCTATAAAATAACATCTCGAAATTATTCGATAAAATATCAACATAGCATTTAAGATGTAAATCAATGTTTTTGTTAAGATTTAAATCAAACTCTTCATTACAAGAAAAAAAGTAAAATATTCGTAATTTACGCTGGTTCGGTCCCGAAACCATTTTAAGTTTAAGAAGCATCACTTGAGATTGTGGCGATTTACTTTTAAATATAAAAAAATAAGTAAAAATATATTATCTTGTTATATTGGTAAAAAAGCAGAAATCTATAAATTACAAAAGGCTATCACTTGCCACTGTAAAAAAATCCAACGTTTTTCCAAATTCTTTACTCAGATAACAATTGTCTATGTTCAGCATAAATTTAAAGTACACCTACACAAATTACGTCATAGCACTTAGTCCAGTTTGAGGGTGTCTTGTTTAATTTTGTATGTAAAACCCTTAATATATTTTGCTAAGCTCAATAAGGTTTTCCCTCCATTTTAAACTTAGTAGGTACTGAATAAATTTTAAATGTAGGCACCGTCCCAGTATTTACGGTAAAATGCTAATGTTATATCTTGTTGGCCACGAAGTTATTAATAAGGCACTTGCTCAAATATTTATATTTAGATTTAATCCTTCTGAAAGGAGGATTAGAATAATTTATTTAGCGATTATATATAGAGGATCAGGGATTAATAAGAATTAAGTTCTTGAATTTACCGATCTTTTAATCTTTTCTTTAGAAAGAAGTATTATTATTTAATGGTGTCAATAGAATTCTGTCAATCACCGCCAAACTCGAAAGGGTAAAGTTAAAGTACCCTTTATGCGTTAAAGATGTAACATGTGCTCACATATGTAATCAAATAATTAAGAAAACATTATAATTAAAAAACACTTTACGTTCAAGCCGCTAGTGAAATTGTTCATGAAACCGCTGGCTCTGGCGTTAATTGGCTGAAGCACTTGTTCGGATTGCGAGAATTTATCGGTTCAATACCCACACCTCGGCGATCGCGCCTGTAACGGCAGATGCAGATATTTTTCCAGTCCAAAATAACCGAATAATTTTCTCGAATTTCCAAAACATTTACTAGTACCTACTGCTGATACTGTAACGTATTGTTTAGGAGGTATTTGAAACTATTGACTAAAACTAATTAAAAAGTTTAACTACCTACACAAAATTATTCACGTTCATGTTGTCACATCTTTTTCTATGTATTTTTTATGTGAGCAATTTATTGTTAATGTGGTGAGCGGGTTCAGTCTGCCATTGTCATTGGATAGGTGGTCGATAATTTGTTAGGACCTGGAGTCAAGGCTTTTACAAGAAGTTATGACAGTCGGAATCTACGTCATCCTTGCACTCAAAAGAACCGACAAGAAACTCAGTAAGGGCTGCTTTTTTCTCCCTATTTTATTTCTTGTCGTCGTGTCGTCAAATTGAAAGCTAATATTTCAAGACCTTTGAAAGGCAAGTTAATCCATTGGTTCTGACTGAATTCACAGTCTTTACTGGATCTACGTACAGAGTCAAGGTCCAGCCTTTTAACTATTTTTTTTATTGGGAATCAGCAATAGGAATATTAGACGACATGGTCAGGATTTAATTATAAACAGAATAATCACAAAAAGAGTAGTGGAACTTTAGTCAAAAATATGCATGAAGTATTTTAAACTATTGAAATTAAATCTTTGACCTGAAACTAATTAGAAATTTAACTTCCTATACAAAATAATACACGAGTCACACCTCTTTTCTAAAAACAATAATCTTTAGAAACCGAAGCTCCAGTTTCTTAGTGTTAACTTTAGTTTTTTGAAAATGCCACAGAAACCTAACATTTTCGGAATAAAAAGTATCCTAGGTCTCAATCCATTCCTAAGGCCCATATTATAGAAAGATTCTCAGTAATTAATCTAGTCTTGAGCATAGTTAGAAAGGGATGTCGCTATATATAGCACATAGTGACATCCCTTTCTAACTGTACTCAAGTAAAGATCAACACTTAGTTGTCACTCTGTTAAACGGACCTTTATGCGTATTAAATTTCACCCAATTCAATCCGATCAGCAGTTTTTGCGTGATTGAGTAACACACATACAAACTTTCACATTTATAATTAAAATAATAGTAGGATAGTAGGTTATCAAATAAAGAAATCTTAAAAACTGTGAAGCAGTTCTGCAATAAATTCAACTGAAACGGTTGAAATGAGTGCAACAGTCGGATGGGAATACGTTGTCTTGGCATTACCTAACTTAGTGAGACATGCAAAATTGCAATGTCGAGTCAGTCTGGAGTCACACGCTAAGTTGCATGCTTAATGAGGTTGAAATTAGGGACTTTATGTTTATTCAACGTTGAAGACTGGAATAGTAAATCTGACTCACCTCTCTCGAACAGTTTCACAACTAGGTCAACTAATCCTTTGGATCTTAAGAAGATAAATTTGTTAGGATATATTGTGATGTCAGTAACTACTTTTATCTCGTAATTTGTGAAGCTCAAACAATGTTCGCTTTATTAGTTTATTTATGTTTTTATTGTACTGAAGAGCTCGACAACGTTATAGTTAGAGCGTTCGGTCTCAGATCGTGGAAGTAAAGGGACTTTTACGATGGCAAAGCATAGAATTGGTGACCAAAAATTATCTCTAGTTCCTCCGTGCCTCGAAAGGCACTTTAAGCTATTGTCCACGATTGCAGTCAGTGCAGTCATTAGCACCCATCAATCTGCACTGGTCTTGCGTGATACCTAATGATGATGATCGTCATTTTATTAATATAATTAGGAAACTTTAATCGTCACAAATCCACAAATTAGCAATAAGTCCTGCAACCTTTTTCACCGACGCCCCATAAGTTAGGCATAACTTCCAGAACGTTATTCACAGTCAGAAACTCAATACTAACAGAAGGTTTATTGGAGTTTACTCCTTAAGAATCGATTTGCATATATAAGTGGCCCGGTATGAGAAAAATGTAAGGAGTAAAATCTATCAATGAATGACATTAATGACCTCGTAACGTTTTTGTGCGCAACCTCATCTGCGCACCTTTCACTTTTAGCCATGGCAACGGATAAAAAACATTAAGTTGTCACAAATGTCAATAAAATAAATAAACTAAAAATAGATAAAATCGGAGCAAAATTAATGAAAACAAATAAATAACAGAATATAGAGAAATGCCGGTAAGTGTCCAGCACTCTGGAATAGTTATTTTCAGTACAGATGAAATTATAATACATATTTACAAAATGATGACTAGTGTGTGATATTTTTGAAATTGTGTGTTTCCAGAAATACATAATAAAATATATGATGAATATCGCTGATGTTAGATGATAAAATGTGTGACATGGAACCTATGATAGTCGAAACCATGGGACGATTCCTGAGGTATCTCTACTTGTAACCGACTTCTTCGGACTTGATTTTGTTTTGTGTCTGTTCAAAGACAATCGTTTTTAGAGTGTAAACTCCCTGGAGCTGACACACACAATTTTTTTTCTGGCGTCTTCGGTTAGGTGAATGTTGCTTTCTCACCTGGTCGGTTTTTCTACACGAGATTCCGTTGTCTGCTACCTGCACTTTTAAATATTTTAACATTAAAATACAAGAACAGCTGACTCACCAACTATGTTGAGCTGAAATGCCAGGGACATCTTCGGCTCCGTGTTGACCTGGCACTCGTAGATGCCAGCGTCCCTCTCCTGGGGGAACTTAATCTGGAGTGTCCAGTTCTCGGACTTATCCGGCCTGATGACCTGGTGGAAGATAAACGCCTTTTAACGCCATATGTATATCCTTTAGTAATAAGTATAATATATCTTTGTCAATGTAATATTGGTATACTTCCATACATCTACTCCTACATTAACCACGCCGTATTTATTTAGTGACTATAGTGGGAATGTGGGATGTTTTACATACCTAAGTGGTAAGCTGCCTGTATAGCTTAACAGTCGCGATGTTTATACCTTAATAAAAACTCTGTTCACGTGACTCATAACAGGATTATATACAATCGGACGTTCAGACGCACGGCAGGTTACGATCTTTTCTTGGTTGTTCGTCCTCCTCTTCGCTCCAAACGCATTTCAAATACTTTTGTTCAGCGAAGAAGTGAAATTGCCTGCCTACGTCTGTATTTCCAAGTACATATAATCCGACTCATTTAAAAGCCAAAGTGAATAGGCTCCATCTGTTTAGATCCTATCTCTGCTCTCAGGCCGGATACAGGATCAAGAGCTTACACATTAACAAATATTAAAAAATAAAAAAAGAACATAGCGCTTCAAATTAATAGAGTGATGAACTTCCGTAAGAGTTTTGGTTGCATAATTCTGTAAGGATAAAAACACATTCCTAGATGCGTGGACAGTTCCACGCATTTCCCTTGCATAGCAATGCCACTGCATTGCACGAATACTCGTAAAATTATTGTATGAATGTGTCATTAACCTTAAAGTTTTTTGTTAAATTGGAGTGCATTATTATTCAGCAAAAATTACGCAACAATGACTATTCAAACATCTAATAATACGAGCTTGACACACATGACATACCAGATTTCATACATCGCTTTGCCAACCTGACTTTATTTCTGTGGATCAGTATAACCCCAGTAAATTATTTATACTAGGTATATAGCATTGGTTCTTTTTTTATATTTAACTTCATTTACACCTTGAAATGACACTTCTGCGGAATTCCATTACAAAAGACGTTGAGTGCTACATAAAAATACAGTTTTCTATTCTAGGAATTTTTCCTTTTTGAAATAACGAAAACGTACAATCCATACACAATCATAAAAAAATAACAAGAAATCGAATTACTCCGATGACCTTATTATTTTGTGTAAAACAGTGTTTTCTTGTTAGGATTAAATTGTTATTAAAGCATGAAGAGGTCTTTCATTGTTTCTTTTAATTAAATCCGGCAAACATTCTTTTTGTTGAGCCGGTTATACGGCAGATTACTCAATTATATTTTTGTACGAACAAGGAATTCATTTTTTTCTAAAACCCAGCCAATTTTTTGCAACACATCTATTTTCAATTTAATTATATTATTTTTTCACAACTCGCTAACTACTGTTTTGCAGTGCAGAAAGTAAAGGTATATGAATATATGGCCATACGAGAAATCTAAGATTATGTTGTGAGTAAATGGCTAGCAGCGTATTTATATTGTCAATTTCGTTTTTCCCTATCAAGCTGCACCTCTGTAGCTCTGTCAACCCTACGAGGGATTTAAGTGTAAAGGTATATAAAGAGGATAAGGTTCGACAAACGAAGTAAGATCCAGTAAGATGAAAGAGTGATTTTCTATAGAGGGAGCTTTTTATGTATTCGTGCTACGGCGTCGGTCCTCATCTTTGATGGGGCCCTCTGCTGTTAAGTGTTCTCACGTTTTCGTGTCAATTGCGTTTCCTTTTTTTTCCTTCATATTTTATAGGCTATAATTTTATGGAGTCAGCAGTTTTTATGGTATCGTTATCTCAGTGATATATTCGACACACTTATGGCCAGTTCAATGTAGAAAACATACTTTTAAACATTTGCTCTAGGCTGGGTAAATAATTTATCCTCCTTGTTTTTGATTGCTATAGCCTAAGTCCTTTAATTACTTTAGATCAGAACAATATAAAAACGTATGAAGGGTGGTTCCTACTTCATAAATAGAGCCTTATTGCACTTATAAGTCATGCAACCAAAATACTGAACCTCAATCCTAATGAAAGACTTAAAGCATATCTGTCAAGAGAAATTACGCAGGAGCAGCCTCGGTTTGAGAAAAGTAAGGCACTCGCGAATAAATTTGAATAATCCGACAAATTATAGAGAAAGCCAAGAAATTCAATAAGCTTTATACCTTTGCTTTGTTGACTTTTCTAAGGCGTTTACTTCTGTGAAATGGTCAAAGCTGTGGAACAACTTGCTGGAAATGGGAACACCAAGACACTTAGCGCATCTTCTCAGGCAACTGTACGAAAGGGAAACCTCAGTCAAGACAGATGAGTTTCTCTTAGAAAGCTTCAATCCCAGTGCTGGTGTTCAGCAAGGATGCATAATATCGCCACTGCTATTCAACACCCACACTGACCTCATTATGCGATAACTTTCGAAGACTGGACAGATGGAGTTATTATTGGTAGCTACAACATATCAAACGTTACGCTGACGACACCCCTTTATTCGCAACCAGTCTTCGCCATATGGAAAAACTACTATTCAAAATGGAGCATGTGAGCCTTATGTTTGGGTTGAAGATCAATCGGAATAAGAACAATATGATGATCGTGAACCGCGGTAGTGACAATTCAACACAAACGACACAAATTGCTAACTGTGGTGTGTTTCACTCATACATATAATATCTTGGTACATTAATCTTAAGCAATGGTGGATGCGTGGATGAAGTGAAGAGATGTATGGCGATAACCAGAACAGCGATGGAAAAGTTAAAGAAAATATAGAGGAATCGCAACACAACAAAAGCCACAAAAGCCACAAAGACCAGGGTCGTCCGTACATGCGTATTCCCCATTTTCTTATAAGCGTCCGAGAAATGAATCTTGCGTGAAATATCACGCACAAGCAAGATCCATTTCTCAATGGATCTTGCGTGTCCATTCTTATCTATAGATAAAAAAAAATTGACGCTCTCGAAATGTGGTGCTAGACAAGAATGCTTGGTGTATTATGGACGGAATTTCGGACAAATGTATACATACTACAAGAACTCGGCATCAAGCAGCGTCTATTAAAAATAGTACAGTCGCGAATTATAAAGTTCTTTTGACATATCTCTAGACGAAATGACGACTCCATAGAACGCCTTGTAAAACAAGGTAAAGTGGAAGGTACCAGATCACGTGGCTGGTCACTATGAAATGAACTAACCAAATTAAATCAGCAATTGGAGGCCCTATTAATAAATACACCAGCAGTCCACGAATACAGCTAGGTGGCGGAAAATAGTAAGGCGAGCTACATCTGCCCATACCCCAGATGCCTAATCGTGATCACTCTGACAAAAGTAAAACGAGCGAGAACAAGAATAAAACAAGAACAGATTAGCCATAAAGCTGCTTCCGTAGCTGCCAATCTTTACAACAATTCAATTATGTTGAAGTTCTACCACAATTGGATCAGCTAATATTATTTATCCAGTTATCAGAATCGAATTGATAGTAATGTTGGTTATTAATTAAATCCTAAAGCTAATTTATAATTACAAAGAACCTTTAGTACCCAGCAGAACTTCTTGCCAAGTAATTGTCTATTTAATAATTTACATTTTTCTTCGGAATTCGATTTGTGGCAGACTAAAGACACTTTTAATAATTAAAAAGTTAAATAACATTACCTGAAACCTTTGATCCGATGTGTATGTCAATATCCCTGCTGTCAGTATGTGAAGATCCCTTTTTCGGATCCAGGAGACCTGTAACAAAAGAAGGGAAACTGTTGATATTACAAACGATGAAACCCGAGGTCAATCTGGGGATTGTCAGCTTTGACAAAATCGAGTATTTAAAGCCTATTGTGGAATATTCTTGTTTCATATGTTTTGTTAAGTGATATAATAAGAATATGGGCCGAGGTCTCGTATTCAAACCTTTTACCGTTTGTAAAGGAAGTATTAAAAGCTTTTCGTATCAATTATCCTTAAAGCTAATCTAAGGGTCGAATATGTCGTCGAACTTGCTATTATCGTATCTCAGTTCCAGAGTTCAAACTGTAGAGGTAAATGGTGTTAAGTCATCTGGATCTTATGTGAACATGGGCGTTCCCCAGGGATCGATTTTAGGTCCGTTTTTATTTTTATTGTACATAAACGATTTGCCATTTTTTGTGGAAAAATTGTGTGAGATCGTATTGTTTGCTGATGATACTTCTTTATTATTTAAGGTTGACCGATACAAGAATAACTTTGACGATGTAAATAATGCTCTCTCACAACTATTGCACTGGTTTAATGTAAATAACTTAAAATTAAATACAAATAAAACCAAATGCATTAAATTCACTTTACCTAATGTTAGAAGCGAAACCATTAGAATTAAATTAAACAATGAAAACCTAGATTTAGTTGAGTCAACGATATTCTTAGGTATAACCATAGACTCGAAATTGCAATGGTATCCTCATATTTCTCTGCTAGCTGGTAAACTTAGTTCAGCAGCCTATGCCATACGTAAAATAAGACAACTTACTGATGTAGCTACTGCTAGAACTGTATACTTTAGTTACTTTCATAGTATTGTATCCTATGGTATTATTCTCTGGGGATCAGCAGCCGATATTGAAACTATATTTATCTTGCAAAAAAGAGCTATAAGGGCTATTTATCAACTTAGTTCTAGAACATCTCTTAGAGAAAAATTTAAAGAAATCGGGATTTTGACTGTTGCTTCTCAATTCATTTATAATTGCATACTTTTTGTTCGATGCAATATTAACTATTATCTAAAACACAGTGACATACATTCTTTTAATACAAGGAATAAAAATAAACTCAAGATACCAAATTACAGGTTACAGAAGGTTCATAAATCATTTATGGGTCAAGGTATACATTTCTATAATAAGATTCCTATTGATATCCTTGATTTGCCTCCTCATAAATTTAAAATACAAATTAAGAATTGTTTACTTAAGAAAGGATATTATACTGTCAATCAATATTTGAATGATAAAACGGCCTGGTTGTAGTTTTACCTGTAGATAATTTTTCAAAAGTTATATTAAAACTAAGGCTCCCAGCCTTAGAAACAGTTTTGAAGAGAACCTTGCACTTACTCCCTTTCATATACTTGTTCATTTTGTTTTGAAAATTGTTTCTTGCTATTTTGGGACTTATCTTTGCACTTATTGTTAGTAAATTCATTGATTGTTACATATTTGACATTATGTGATGGAAGTTGACCTCAACACATGTTTGCAAGTTTGATGTCAACTTTCAATTGGACGACACTGTATGAAATAAAACAGGGAGAAAAAAGCAGCCCTTGCTGAGTTTCTTGCCGGTTCTTCTCAGTACAAGGTCTTCCGCCGTAGTTTTGCGAACCGATGGTGTAGCTTTTCGACATTCACAAGTGCTTGTAACAGCCTAGACTGAATAAACGATATTGAATTTTGAATTTTTTTTGAATTTTTTGAACCTAAGTAGAACTTTTGGTTCAATCTTAATTCATCATCGTTCAAACTTTACTGAAATTATTATCACTTTCAAGAAATATTTCAATAAAGAGTTATAAATTATAATATGAACGCTAATTTCGTGAACGAATACACAAAATAAATACACTTATAAATAAACATAACACCCAAAAAAATAATATAAAGTAGTGTTAGGGAATAGCTCTCCTCTATTTTATTACGTTATCCTTATATCTATCAAATTATGATGTAAGGTTATCTAAACAAGCTTACACGTGGAAAATATTTTGATATCGCATTCAACAAAGAACCGAAGTTAATTAAGCTCGTGTTATATTACTACTATTGTTTATTAATATGTTATTTATCCTTTTTACTGAAATACAAATATGTTTTCGGTGTCATTATCATTCCTTAAGATATGGATGGATTATGTGGGGTAACTCAGTAGACAGTAATAGAATATTTATTTATAACTCAAAAAATGTATATATGCACAAGCTGGTATAAATGATACTACAGAATGATGTAAACCACTTTTGAAATTGTTAAAAATATTACCATTACCATGTAAGTATGTATATTCTGGAGATTTGTGTGTTTGTTAAAAATTCTCTCGACTTTCCCTACTTTTTTTTTGTAAATAGTAAAAATAAACACAGAGAGAGATTAAATGTACCTAGTATACGCCTTGATATTTACAAGAAAAAATGTATATTGTATGCGTATCAGAATAGTTAATAAGTTGCCAGATGATTTTAAAAAATTACCTAAACATAAATTAAAAACATTGTTTGAAATTATGGTTGTTTGACCATTGTTTTTATAATGTTGGCGAATATCTGATATTAAGGCAATTTGGGTATTAAATTATATTGTTATGCTATGTCTAATGAATTGTAATTCTTATATTAATTTTAATTGTATGCTTTGTAATTTTTAATTTTATATGCATTTGATAGTTTTTAATTTTTAAAATAACATGTCAATAATGTACACAATTTTGGCAAATAAAGAAATATTATTATTATCAGGGTAAGGTCGATGAAACTAAGTTATCCTTGACATCAATTAGTAAGTTTTTAGACATACTACGGCTGCAGGCGTCATTTCAATATTTTCATAAATTACATAATCGAAGTGTCAGTTTTTTCTCTCTTTTTATTCACTATCTTATTAATTTCTTTTTGTCCTAGATATTTCTAGTGCAATAGAACAGGCCGTCTATCGGCACTACCTGACGTTATCCAAATATCGACCGCTCTATTTGAAGACAAACACTGGTGGACAGAAATAGATCATGGCTCGTTACGTCTATTGTTTGCTGTGCATTTACATCTACTTTTGTATTGTTGATCTATTCAATACAAGTCAATTATACAAGTCTATTGATTTGGATAAATCCTAAATATAATTGTTTAATTTATTACTAAAAATAACATTTACATTTAAACTCAAACGTTTAAAGTAACTATGAAATTCTTATTGATATTTTTACACATACTTTTAATGGAACGTTATCAATAGAAATAATCATTTAATGGGCTATGAAAGAGAGAACACGTCTGGCACAGGCAATTTTATTGTATAAATGGCAATTTTCAATCACTAATCAAAGCAGATAATGTATACAAAGAATTCTAGTGAAAAACATGATAATATAACAATAACAAAAAATATACTTCGATGTGCATTCTCGAGATTTATATTCACCAAGGTACATTGAAGAGTGCTGCTTGGTGAAATAGAAATCTTTCCAAAATGCACATCTCGTATAAATTAAGGTCAAACTTCCCTTAAAGTAAGTTTCCTAACCCATTAATTATTTGTAAATCATGTCGAGAAGTTTCATGTTTCTCGGAAGTAATTTTGACCTTCAGCTTATCTTATGCAAATATCAGTACCTACTGTTCTGAACCGAGTCAATATAAGACGAGTTCTTCGCCAAGGTTGTTCAAGGGCAAGGTATTTATTTGATAATACACGTGAACAGATTGTAGATGAGATAAAAATGCTTGTTATATAGGTAACTATAGTTGTTTATCAAATTGCCATCACAAAGGGCTTGCCAAGCATTTTCTATGGTACCTACTACTTTGAGACTTTTTTCAGATGTGAACAGCAATGATTACCTTAATATGTATATATAGTAAATTAATAAGTATGATGGTTAAATTTTTTTCATACTCAATCAGGTAGTTTATCAAAAAGTAGTTTTGCTTTATTTTCATAATGATGATATTAAAGAGATATGTTGTTTTAAAATGTTACAAAACGGCACGTCTTGCTAAAAATTTTACTTAGAAGAACTATGACGCGCTTCACCTTTGTAATTTTTTGGTTGATTGAGAAAATAAAAAATAACTGTCCATTATTATTTGGTAATCTTACAAATGGAATTAAAAGAATTTCCTTTAATTATCACCGCCTCATGCCAATTATTCTATCTAGCTATGTAAGATCTCGTATTGAAGTCGTTTTTTAATTTATCGTCTCTGTATAAAATACTGGGAGAAAATTACAGCCCTTGCTGAGTTTCTTCCCGGTTCTTCTCAGTACAAGGTCTCCTGCCGTAGATTTGCGAACCGATGGCGTAGCAGAAGACTGAATAAATGCCATTTATTTTTTGAGAATAAAATAAAGTTGTTTATAGATATATGAAATCAAAAATTATACAAAAAAAACATTCAAGAATTTTTATTCAGAAAACCTTTTGCTATTGTCCATATTATTTTTATCTGTGGTTTTTGTTTTTTTTTTCCAATACTTTTCCCGTACGATGTTACAAAAACAAACCGAATACTAACGAGACGGCCTCAGCCTAAGCTAAACAAACGAGTTCTTAAAAATACCATAATTGACGGCTATTGGCTCAACGCCAACCAACTACTATCGGAGAAAATTCGTTTCGATATAAATAAAACGTGGATTCGCATTTCGCTGTGAAAGTAGGATTCATTGGTTCAGAAGATTAATAATTGCTGAGCTTTTCGCGATGCTTAATGCTTTTATGTCTAGTGAAAGTGGACGGCGATTTGTATTTTTATTTCGAGCCGGAATTATCTGAAGTTGAACGGGAAACTTGCTAGTTTAATGTACACATTTATTTCTGGTGCTCAGAAAGTAATATAATAAAAATAAACAAAAAAACGGGTGTGCTTATGACCACACGACTGAAGTGAAACTTCTTTAGCTTCATCTGTATGTATATATACATACATATTTCATTTACTAGCTATAAGAGAAAGAGAGAAAGAAAATGTCCCACTCAACTCCCGTTCGCCTCGCCCGAACACACTTTTCGTAACGCGTAACACCATACTGGCGGCGTATTCGCTAGCTAACTCCCCAAGTCAAGCGTGCGTATAGAAGTTCAACTTAAGCAAGCTAACGAGATATTTAGTACTTGAGTTTTTCGATTTACTTTCTGCTTGTACTATTACTATTTACATTCGGAATAACATAATTGGCCTTTTAATATTAAAAGCGTATGGCCTGCCTGATAGTAAGCGGCTTCCATGGCCTGTAGACAATTGCTATACCAAAGATATCACGCGCCGATGCCTACCCTGACCCAATCCCCTACTTCGTGGAGCCCGTTGATAGTCGAGCCTAGTTGTTTTTTGGCATTTTATTACTTTTCATTATGTACAATTCAGGAGTTCGATGGCGCAGGCGGATAGCGCGTTCGGCTGCGATCGTTGAAGTAAAGCAACTTTCGAAGTGGTTGGTCATTGGATGGGTGACCAAAAATATTCTATCTCGAGTTCCGTGCTTCGGAAGGCACGTTAAGCCGTTGTTCCCGGCTGCATCTGCAGTCGTTAGCACCCGCCAATCCGCACTTGGCCCAATCTACCTATTCCATCCATAGGGAAGACCTGTGCCCCAGCAATGGGGACATTAATAGGCTGATGATGATGAATAAGAATCTCACCGCTTTGTCACCCAGTTGTTCGACCCTGCAGTGCAGGAATGCGGTCTGTCCAACCACAGTTGTTACGTTTCTCGGCACGTTGTACTCGAAGTATGGGAATGAACCGACGCTGTCCTCGCCGTAGTGAGCGGTCCCTGCGAAAGAACATTTGGTATATCAATATTTAATAGACAATGATTATTCATTGGGAATCTTTAGGAGTAACGCAACGTGTGCTTCATGTTCGTTGCCATTGTCAGATTAAATGGAAAAAAATGGTGGGGTTTTATGAAACCACAATGCATGTGCAACTTTTGAAATAATAAGATCAATAAATTTATATACAGTGTGCACGGACCAGGTCATCTGCAGTGAAATTTCTTTTCTTAAATAACCTAGCATTAGGTGGTGCCTTAGGCATAGGGGAATGGAGCAGAGTATGCATTACTCTGACATATGTATATAGCCGTGTGTGACTCTTGTGACGCTCGTAGCGTTTCAGCCTTTGCCGAGTTACCCTGCAACTTTAAAGCTTTGTCGGGAAGAGCTGCGCACGCATGCTACACACACACATATATATATATATATATATACAATATATATATACATAACCACGACTCATATTAAAATGTAAACCAAAATAGTTATAAATTCTTAGAACAGATCGGTCAAAGTTTTAAAATTATATATATCTACACTGGTCTGCAGATTTTCTGTTTTCACATTTCAATTAAGTTTCATGAAAGCTCCAGAAAAAACTTAAAGAACAAACCCCAAAACTTTAATTATGAGCACCTGGTTTATTCAAACATAGTTGTTAGGGGCAACATTTACTTTGTCACATTTGGTCAGTTTAATTTTGTGTCCCTTGTTTATTATTTAAGTGCTTGTTTTAAGATTATGTGTGCTCTTGTAATTATGAAATTAATGAGATTGCACTTCCAGAACTCCCGCAAACAAGTTTCACAATGGTCGGTCATTGGATGGATGACCAAAAATTTAATATCTCGAGCTCCTCTGTGCTTTGGAAGGCACTTTGAGCCGTTGGTTCCGGCTGCATTAACAGTCATTAGCATGCACCAATCCAACTAGGCCCGCGTGGTGGATCATGGCCTAATCTCCCTAGCCTTCCGTATGGAAGGATTGTGGCCCAGCAGTAGGGACTTCCATAGCCTGGTAATGATGACCTTTCTAGATATATTACTAACCCTGGGAGTATCTTACATACATATTTAATGTATTATGCTTTTAACTTTAACGATAATAATAAATATTTCCAACACTCACACCAATTAGCCTAGCCCCAAGTAAGCACTGTAAAGCTTGTGTTATGTGATATTAGGGTAACGGATAGAATACATATACAGAGTATATGTAATTATATTTTTATAGAAATATATATTAAACATCCATGACTGGAGTACAAATGCTCGTATTCATCACACAAACATCTACCCCCACCAGGATTCGAACCCGGGACGGCGACACCATGAAACCCGGCATATAAACTACTCGGCCACGGAGGTCGTCGGATAATAATTGATAAGTCTTTGAAATTTAAGGGCTATGACTTGGTTAAGTTCATACAGTTTAAATAAGATAAAACCGTTTTTTGTCATCGGTCAATATGTATTATTAATTTTACTGTAGCCAATGTCTGTCGTGGGACACAATTTCATATCCTTGTCATTTGTACGAGATTATGTGATAAGGAAAGCAATCCACTAACTCATTCCGGTGAACAGAGTATAACTGAGAGAATTTCACACATAGGGAAATAAATAATAGTGTAATTTAACTACACTCTGGCTTTGGTACTAAAATTAACATTCAAACTTTGAATTAAGCACGCTCTTTCAGCTGCACATACAAATTTATCGTATTGCAAAACCTTTTTGATGCGTATCAAATTATCGCCAGTTAAACTATAGTACGATAGAATTATTTGAAATTTCGAACGCAAATCTATCGCATTTAGTACCAAAAGCCACCACCCATAGCATGGTGGCACAGGTGTAGGATAAGTATTGAAATAACAATATAATGAAAACCGCATTTTTAAATGGATATACAAAGAATCATCTGAGCTTGAATTATAGCCCTCCTTAGTGCGGGAGAAGCGTGTGCATAAAACTGCAAGATTTATAAATCTGAAGAATATTTCACTTGCATTTATGATTCGTTTTTTTAACGAATTAGCAACGGTCTTAACGCTCACTTCATTACCATTATTAGCTTTGAGATTTTACCTCATTCCGACACTAAGAAGCTTAGTATAAAACTATTAGGTCAAGCGGGTCGAGGCGCGCTAGTCCTGAGTGGTGACGCCCGTAAATGGTTTCATGTGGGATTTTCCTTGTATGCACTAGTCACTAAGAGCATTAGCGTTACGTTTACACTTTTATGTAGCTACTTGCTAATAATAATATTGTTCCTCATCGCACACATCAAAGGACATATAAGTCTTAAACATATAGAACAAAAGAAAGAAAGTTATTGTTTAACAGTTGTGCTATTCAAGAATGCTTATCCCACACATGCCTGACAAAGTTTTGGTACTAAAATTCTCTGAACTCTAATTGCGTTCGAACTTAAAGTTATATGCGCTCTTTCAGTTGTACGTTCATTTATCATCTCCCACATCAGTTTTTAAGCGATTCAAGCTATCGCTATTATCAAATAAAACTAGTTTAAACGGGATAATGCACGAAACTTTATTTATTTATTGACGTTTCGTAGCCTTTCCAGGCTTCGTCGTCAGAATAAAACTTTTGTTTGTCTGACGACGAAGCCTGGAAAGGCTACGAAACGTCAATAAATAAATAAAGTTTCGTGCATTATCCCGTTTAAACTAGTTTTATTTAATGAGTGATGTGCGTGAAAACCTAAGAAACAAATATATCGCTATTATCGTTAAGCTATCTATCGCCATTATCGTCAAGCTATCGTCTAGCGTCTATAGACACGCAGCCCGATAATTCATTACAACCGAACTAATTCCAATTTCGAACGCTAATTTAAGCGAAATTAATACCTGAGCCACTCGAAGCTTCGTCGCACTGGTGTAGGAGAAGCATAAGGACAAACTCACTTTTCATCGCGGAATCTGTGTATGATTTGAAATTAGAATACGAAATCTCACCACGGAATCCGCGGTGAAAAGTGAGTTTGTTCTTATAGAATATCACAACAGCAATTTTTTACAATATTGCTTCATCATCATCATCAGCCTATCAATGTCCCCACTACTGGGGCGCAGGCCTTCACTGTGGATGGAATAGGGAGTTTTTGGGCCATGACCCACCACGCGGGCCCAGTGCGGATTGTTGGGTGCAGCCGGAACCAACGGCTTAACGTGCCTTCCGAAGCACGGAGGAACTCGAGATAGTAAATTTTTGGTCATCCATCCAATGACCGACCACTGCGAAAGTTGCTTCAACGATCGCAGCCGAACGCGCTAACCACTTGCGAAATCGAGCTCCTTGACATTGCTTATGCGGTAGAAAAACTATAAAAATACGACAACAAAAATAGATTTTTAAAGGGTGTCATATTATTTGTTACTGGTTTTTTTTTAAATGTTAAGAGAAAAAAGTGGCTGCTTCCATCGTATAAGTACTTTAGTTAATACTGACTCATAAAAAACTACATGCTTCTATTTCACAAATTTAAAGCACGTAAACTCTTCCAAATACTTATCTTAAAATAAAGGTAATCGCTTAAATACATTTTCAAAAGACTCGTCGTCATAAGTAAATAATGAAAATGTTTTACTCATTCCATTCTGTCTTAGCAATGAAATTGTCTGGTCGCAATCTAATTGTCTAAACGCTACCATTCAAGTTCCAATTAATACAAAGTTTTCAAGACGAACACAGCGCTTAACGCTTCCAACTGGCAGCATTTTCTTTTCTCATTACATTTTATTATGAAAATATAACAACCTAAGACTGTACTGCTTTAATTAAATACTGAAGGAAATAGTCCTTACCTGAACAGCCACCGCAATTGTGTTTAACATCTACTTTCATTGTCATACACCTGATGATAATCCGCGGTTAAAACAAAGAACCGACCTTACCTATTTCAGAATTGGAGTGAAATTTGAGTGTGCACCGCAAACTCTTTTAAAAACATCGCCCAAACTCGTAAAAACGAGGTAAATGAGATGTGAACCACGCGATTTAAGTCTAGCAATTTGGCTAAATGACGGTGGCTTCATTGTGAAAGGGTACGACCGGGATGTTAAAAATGACCGAAATTATGGATACGGCATAATTGAGGTCTTGTGTTTACCTTTTTTGGATGCTAGGTAGCTTACTTTTGAATGACCTCTGTACCGTAGTAGGAGGTGGTTGTATGCCTTAAGTGACGCGGTAATTTTGAATTTCTGGGTTCGAGAGAATTTATATAAAAAAAAAACATTTTTAATATGACACTATAACACTTGTATGTAACTCGAACCCGCAACCTTGATTTTGAAGTGGCTGCTCTTCATATTCATCCAAAATTCTTATTAACTTTTCGAATATTTAAGTTGAATCTTCGAATTATATAAATATCGGATCTAGTTTCGAAAATAAAATCATGATTTTAGAAATTAATAGCTTATTGATAAGTTGAGTTTAAGTAGCATTCTTAATTTAATAAACGCCTCCATAAAGTCTTTAGTATAAGAATTGTAGTAACCGACAAACTTTTAAAGTAAAAAAAAGCATTCCATTAAAAAACAGTTGCAATTACAGATACATTATTTAATAGATTGGCAAAGGAGTTGTCAAAACTAGAACAAAATCCGATTGCACTAGCATGTGTGGGTGTGCAATGTGAGGAAAAATGGAGAACACCAAATAGTTCTACGCGAATCCCAGATGTCGAAGACCATACACCTTCACTATTGGACCTTCTGCTGACTTCACATCCGGATAATTACAAAGTGTCCATAGATGCCCCTCTTGGCTCCTCGGACCATTGTTTAATCCGGAGTACGGTACCACTCACTTACTCACCGCGGCCGCAATTTGCTGGCTGTCGTCGTGTGTGGCACTATAAGTCAGCAGACTGGGATGGGATGCGCACTTTCTTTTCATCCTACCCTTGGGGCCAGGTTTGCTTCTCGCAGAATGATCCCAACGTCGCTGCCGATTCTGTCGCT